TTGCATCTTTGAAGACAAGGGCAGTGTTGTCATGGGAGGGAGTGGGGAGGGAGGACTGCGCCAGGGCTCGCTGCACGGTCAAGTGCAGCGTGGGCCCGGGCTTGTCCTGTGGCTTTGGCGGCACACAAGTTGTTGATGATCTTGACAAGAGCTGTTCCTGTACGTGGGGCAGGAAAAGCCTGGAAGGAAGGGTCACTGGGGTAGAGAGGAGAGGACGGCAAACAGAGAAAGCCCTTTCGTGGGCACTTGTCATTATGCTGCAGGGAGATTTGGGACCCGGGGAAGGTTTTGTTGAGTGGCGGAAATTACAGCATTTTGTAACACTGGTGGGAAATGGTTCTGTACAGAGTGAACAGCTTGAGGAGGTGGGAGAAGGGGACTCTTGCTGGGACCATGTCCTTGGGAAGGCAGTGGGCCCAAGTGATAAGTCCATAGGCTCTTCCTTGGTGAGAGGAGGGAGAGCAGAGTTGGGGAGCTGGGAGAGTGGGAGCAGCAACGTTTTCTTCTTTCCCTCTCAGTGAAATAGGGAGAAGCCACCAGTCAGTGAAAATGAGGGTGAGTAGGGGTGTGAGGAGACGAGAAGGTCTGGAGTGTCCTATGGGAAAGTAAGCGTGTAAACAGATGAGCAGCACGGAGCGGCCTCCTGAGGGGAGCCATCCTGGGTTTAAAGTGAAAAGAGCAGTTGTGTTCTTTTTACTGGAAGCAGAGTAGGCAGTGTTGCAGTTGTGTGGGAGTTGTGGTTTTCCCCAAAGAAAAGTGGCAAAGCTGGAGAAGGTCAAGGGAGCGATTACAGTGGTGAGGCGCAGAATGGAAGCTGGGAAGGGAGGGAAGTGAGGCCATGCTGATACTGAGTTTTGTCCACATTGATGTGTGTGGCTGTAGTTTATTCTTTTTCATGTCTGTGTTCTACTTCAGGCTGAATATCTCATTTTAATCTTTGTCCTAGCATTGGAGGATAGGATGGTTTCCACTAAACAGGCAGAGAGGCTTTGAACGAGTGCAAAAACAGCTCTCGAGGGAATAGAGCCTGGAGAGGATGGGAATTGCAGGGTAGCCGGACCTGTATAGCTTTCACTTCAGTGATGGTGCAAACTCTATTCCAAAATAGTTGGACCAGTTTACCCTCCTCCAGGCGTTGTTGTTCTGCATCCTTGTCAACTCCTAGTATTGTCAGACTATTATATTTGCCAATTTAGTGGGTGTCAACTTCCATCTCATTTTTAAATTAATAGCTTTATTGAGATATAATTCACATATCACTACAATTTACTCATTTAAAGCATAACATTAATAGGTTTCAGTATATTTACAGAATTGTGTAATGATTACCACGGTCTAATTTTAGAACATTTCATCATCCTAAAAAGAAACCTTGTACCCATGAGAAGTCACTCTCCATTTCCATTTAACCCCTAGGCAACCACTAATGGACTTTCTATGGGTTTGCCTATTCTGGACATCTCATATAGGTGGAATCATACAGAATATGGTCTTTTGTGACTAGCTTCTTTCACTTAGTGTATTTTCAAGGTTTATCTGTGTTGTACCATATATCAGTATCAGTACTTCTTTGAATTTGATCGCTGAATAGCATTCCATTGTATGGACATACCACATGTTATTTATCCATTCAGCAGTGATGGACATTTGACTTGTTTACACTTTTGGACTGTTATGACCAATACTGCTGTGAGCATTTGTGTACTAGACTTTGGATGGACATATGTATTTCTCTTGGTGTATACTTAGAGAAGTGGAATTGTTGGGTAGTGTAACTCTGCTTTTAACATTTTGAAGAACTACCAAACTATTTTCCAAAGTAGCTGTACCATATTACAGTCCCACCAACACTATATCAGGGTTCTAATCTCTCCATGTCCTTACCAACATTTATTATTTTCCATTACAAAAATCGCAGCCATCCTAGTGGTTGTGAAGTGTGGTATCTCGCTGTGGTTTTGCTTTGCCTTTCCTGAATGACTAATGCTGCTAAGTGTATTCGTGTGCTATTTGCTCTTTGTATGTCTTCTTTAGGAGAAAGTCTATTGAAATAAATTCTATGCCCATTTTTATTAATTCATTTATTTCTTCATGGTTTCAGTGTTCTTTTTTCTGATTTCCTAATAAACTTGAGCATCTTTTTGTCTGTTTGGAGTTCTACTTTTGTGAAATACCTGTTTGTGTCTTATTTTTTCTATTGAGTTGTTTGGGTTTTCTTATTTGTAGGAATTCTTTCATATTCTGGGTTTTGTTGCTTATCTGTGTGACAGATATCTTTTCTCCATTTGTGACCTGTCTTTCGCTGTGTTTATGGGATTTTTTAAAAAGTGTTTCATTGAAAGCATGGAATAAAAGAGCAAAAAAGGGTCTTAATATCTTCTAATCTTTTTTCTAGTCCTTTTACTACCCAGGTGGAAGAGGAAATAGATTTTTGGCTTATAGATAGTTATCTTTTAAAAATTAAATAAATTTTTTGTTAGATTTATTTTTTGGTTACTTTATAGTTTTTGTTGCTGTTGTAAATGATGTTTTTAGGTTAAATTTTCAATTTGCTGGTAAATGGAAATGCAGATGACTTTATATGTGGCTCTTATATTCAATAACTTCTCTAACTTAGTAATTTTCTCATGGACTTCTTTTGTGTAGATAATCGTCTCACCTTTGAATAATGACAGGTCATTTCTTTCCAGTCCTTTTACTTTTTATGTCTTACTTTCATCTTACTGTGCTGCTTCCGTGCAGCCATCACCAGTGGGCAGTGTGAATGGTAATGGCAGGCATCCTTGTCATGTTCCTGGTTTAAAAGGAAAATGTTTTTATTTTGCATCATAAAATGTGTGGATACATTTTTATTTTCTTAACAAGTTGACGAAGATTCCTTCAATCTTCGTTTATGGAGAATTTTTTAAAAGTCACAAGCAGGTATTGAACTTAATTGAATGCATTTTCTACATTTATCGCCATGATGCTAATACAGTTTTCTCCTTTAATCTGGTAGCGTGAAAAATTGCTCCCAAAGGAGCAGTTAATATTGGGATTAACTTTATACTCCTGGGATAAATCCAGCTTGATCATGACATACTCTTTAAAAAAAAAAAAAACTTTTGTCTTGTTTTGTTTTTGTCATGTATTTTTGGTGTTTATTTTACTTGCTAATATCTTAGGATGTATGTATCTATGCTCATTGGTAAGATTGGTCTCTAATTTCCCTTTTTTTGTATCAACCTTGATGAGTTCTGCTTTCAAGTCTAATAAAATGTTACTCTAGTCTAATAAAATGAGCTGTAGTATTTCCTCCTTTTTATTCTCTTAGAGAATGTATGTGTAAAACTGGAATTGTCTGTTCCTTCAGTGTTTGTTTAAACTTGCCTGTAAAACCATCAGGGCCTGGTGTTTTCTGCCTGAGGTTTTAAAATTATTGATTTGGTTGCTTTAATATTTATAGGATAATTAGAGTCGTTATTTTTTCTTGAGTCACATTTGGTAATTTCCATTTTTCTAGATTTTATTTTGTCTGCATTTTCAAATATATTGGCAGAAAATTCTAATTTCTTATCTTTTGAATCTACCTGATTTGTAATTAATTACTAATGTTTAACTTCTGAAAAGGATGCTTAGATCATTAGTTTTCAGCTTTTTTTATGTACATAATTTGTACACATATATGTAAATAAAGTAGTAATTACCCTTTAATTACCACTTTAGCTACATCTCAGAAGTTCTATGTAAAATTTTTCTTTCAGTTCTGAATATATTCACATTTTCATTTTGATTTCTTCTTTGACTTAGTATATTGAAAAACCTTGCTTTCTGTATCTTTTAACCTTTATCTTTGTTATTGATTGCTAACATACATTGTGCTAATAAAATGTGCTCCAGTGTGATTTTAATTTTTGAAATTTGTTGAGGCTGTTTTTATGGTGTCCATTTTGTGGCAGATTTTTATCAGTATTCCATGTGTATTTAAAGATAATGTATGTTTCCAATTTTAAGATAAAGTTTCCCATGTCTATTAGATGAAACACATTAATTGAATTAACATTCAAACTAATCCTTAACTAATCTTGTCTGCTTGTTCTGTCAATTTCAGAGAGGGGTGTTGTTAAAAATCCCATTATGATGGAATATTTGTCAGATTCCTGTAGTTATCTCAATTTTTTGCTTTTTGCCTGTAAGTTAGAATTATTAAATTCCCAGTGACTTGCACAGTTTGTCATTTCTGTAATGAATCTTCGTTTTTAGGAATATTTTTTCCATTAAAGTATATTTTGTCAGATATTGGCATAACTGTACCCAGTGACTTTTAGTTAATGTTTGCCTGATATATATTTTTCTACCCTTTAACTATCAAGTTTTTCGTTCCCTTAATGTTTTAGGTGTGCCTTTGAAAGCAACACATAGCTGGATTGCATTTTTATAATTTGACTGTAAGCTGATGAGTGAGTCTGTTTATGTTAATTGTGATCAAAATATTTGGTTTATTTCTACTATGTTATTTTGTGCTTTCTAACTGGTCTTTTCTCCTGTTCTTTTTCTTTTCTTGCCTGTGTATTGTGAGATTTTTTTCCCTTCATTCCTGTTTGCTGTTTTTACCTACACCTCGTAAGAGATTAGACACTTCTTTTCTTGGTAATCTTATATATTTCATATTTAACTTAGGGCCTAGAGCTATTTGATATCTTCACTCTCATAAGAACCTTTGATTGCTTTTAGTCTTAGACTCTTCCTAATTTTTATGCAACTATTGTCTCATTTTTATTTTGCTGCTCTTAAAATCCCATAAATACTGTCAAAAATTTTATACTGTCTTTCTTGAGAGGCAGTTTTGCCTAATACCTGATTCTAGGTTGATTTAACAATATTTTCTTTTTCCATTGTTGCCACTGAGATTAATTAGAGGTTAGCTGTTAGTCCTTATCCATGAATCTGAGATATTCTCTACCTAAAGCGCTATTCATGTTGGCCAGTCTAGCAGATAATCTTTACTCTTTAATTTTTAGGTTGCTGGTCTTATTTTGGATTGCTCTTTGGTATCTTGCTACTTCTGAATAATCAAGTACCAGGTATTGTTTTGGATATTTTAAAAAACTTTAAAAATTACAAGTAATAGAAGATGTTCATTTTGTTAAGAGCTGGCAAATATGTTTTTTTTCCTCCTTTAATGTGGAGCGTTTCTGTGTTAATAAGGGATTTCTTAGAGATTTTCTTCTCCTTCAGATTACTTAGTTCATTTTTATATCCAGAAATGGGAAAGATTTCAAGGAAAAGTACTTTTTTAAAATGGTATCATTTGATTACTAGAAAACGTTTATGTGAACCTTAAATGTGACTCCAGCCACGTATAGAAGACCAAAAGCAATCTGGAAAAAGGATGTGGATCAAAACAGATTATGAACCAAATCTGTCTTTGGGAAAGAAAGAGAGTGGAGTTCAGCATTTATAATATGTGGTCTGTCCTGAGGGAGAGGAGGGATGGCTTTATAACTTTTTAATATTTAAAGTCTTTTCTTACTCTGACTAGTAAGTGAAAAGAGGCAATCAGAAACAAAAGAGGCATGGAGGGACATAATAATGGCCTGTAGGCTGGGCTAGGTTGGAACTCCCTTTGTGACACTGTAGTTAGCAGACCATATCAATTGAGGAGGGTTAGGGGGTTTGGTGCCAGCGCTGCTGATCCCAGGAGCAAAGAGTTAATAACTACTTTTAGTTCTCTCCCAGGAATTTTCAATGAGGCGAAGGAGTTTGGAAATGTATAGGCATTATAACTATTGTATTCAAAAAATAAAGCTTGATAATCTTCTGGGGCAATGAGGAAAGAATGAAAAAGGATTGTAGGGGCACAGGGTAGAGAGAGAGCTGGTTTAGCAGAATTGTTGTGAAGATTAAACATTCCTGGACATGTTTGTGTTTATAAAACCCCCAGAAAAAAGTAGAGTTCATTCCTGCCATTAACTATATTGTAAAGTTTTCTGGTTCTTGGAATGAGTTACTTATTGTTTAAAATAAACTTTATTGTTGTTATTTTTGGAGGAGGGTAATTAGGTTTATTTATTTATATTTAGAGGGAGTAGTGGAAATTGAACCCTGGACCTCGGTGCATGCTAAGCGTGTGCTCTACCACTTGAGCTGTACTCCCCTTCAGCTCAGTTAGTATTGAATTGCCTCTTGATTAGTATGAACCTTTAGCAGCCTGCCTGTGCTCACCTGCCTGCCTTACAGTGGGAAGATGTAATTGTGTCTCTTCCTATTTTGCTTGCCCAGTCCTGTTATTACAGCTGTTACTTGGGCTTGATTTATTACTTAGATTATTTTAACTGTTTTTACCCCAAGAAGGCTCTTCATATTTTATATGAAGAAGGAGCCACTGGGAGGAAGTGAAGGAGGGAGACGTCTAGCCAGAATGATTTCGAGAAAGGGTCATTAAGTTGATGAGAACTGAATTGGAATTTTGGTTTGACCACTGAAGTCATTTTGGGCAACATGTTTCACTTTCTGAGCCCCAGTTTCTTCGTATGCAAAATGGAAATAATGTTAAAGTTCTCCTCTCTTTTCCATAGAAAATAACTGGGTAATTTGAATTTGTAAGGGTTTTTTTTCTTGCAAGTGTATTAATGTAGAAGTCACAAACTTTCACAGAAAAAGTGATTAAGACTAAGCTGACTTTATTAATGATTAGTATCTTATTTTATTAACTTTTACTGGGTTCGGTTTTGAAATCTTGACTGATGGTAGAATATTGTGAAATTTTCTTTTTTGCTCTATTGCCATTTTTCTGTTTAGAAGTCTTAGTTTAAAAAAATTAGTCAATATGTGATTGTATTTGCTTTGAAAAAACAGTAAAGTTGGTAAGACTAAAATCTCTTCTGATCACATTCCCCCAGTCCATTTCCACCTTATGCTGTGAATAGTTTTGTCTCTATTTTATTGATTTTTTTCTCTATATTTGTATACTTACATATGTGTTTATAGAAACTATATAGTGTTGGAAATAAACACTTAGTAAAAAATCATTCATCACTTTTCATGGAGTCCCCTGCAGTACACAGACATCTGCCCTTTTAATTGTTGTATACTGAAGGTGTACTTGGTAGCCATTTCCCATAAGAGTGAGCTTTAGATTTTTTTTTTTTAAATCACAAACAACTCAGCTTGCTTTCAGTTTGGTATAATAAAGCACTTTGTTCCTAGAAGCTGTTAGAAGTATAGTGTTTGGTACAGAGGTCGGTAAAATACTAAATATAAAGCTGGAGTCTTTGCATTTAAAGTACACCTGTAAGCAGTGAAACGAAACTTTTTTTTTTTTGAAGTCGTTTCTGTTTTCTCCTTTTCAAATGATGACATTGTTTTTAAGCTCTACTATAAATGAACAATTATTTCACAAATCTTTACTGTTTTATTATAAAATACGCATAACAGAATTTACATTTTAACCATTTTTTAAAATTAATGAACTTTATTAAAATAATGAATTTTATTTATTTAGAGCAGTTTTAAGTTCACAGCAAAATGAAATATAGTAGAAATCATGCAATATTATGGTCTTTCCATACTGGCTTGTTTCACTTAGTAATATACATTTAAGGTTTCTCCATGTCTTTTCATGGCTTGAGAGCTCATTTCTTGTTAGTGCTGAATGATATTCCATTGTCTGGATGTAGCACAGTGTATTTATTCACTTGCCTACTGAAGGACATCTTTGTTGCCTTCAAGTTTTGGCAGTTAAGAAAAAGCTGCTGTAAGTGTCTGTCTGCAGGTTTGTATATGAACATAAGTTTTCATTTGAGTAAATACCAAGGGGCATGATTGCTGGATTGCATATAAGAGTATGTTTTGTTTTATAAGAAACTGCCAAACTGTCTTCCAAAGTGGCCATATCATTTTGCATTCCTGCCAGCAGTGAATGAGAGCTCTTGTTGCTCCACAAGCTCATCAGCACTTGGTGTGTCGGTATTTTGGATTTTGGCCATCCAACAGGTATAGTGGTATCTCACTTTTAATTTGCAATTCTCTGATGATATATAACATTGAATATCTATTCAAAAGCTATGTGTATATCTTCTTTGGTGAAGTGTCTTCTTAGGTTTTTGTCCCATTTTTAAATCAGGTTTATTTTCTTATTGTTGAGTTTTAAGAGTTCTTTGTATATTTTCAGTAACAGTTCTTTATCAGATGTATCTTTTGCAGATATTTTCTCCCACTCTGTGGCTTGTCTTCCTATTCTTTTGACATTTTCTTTTGCAAAGCAGGTTTTAATTTTAATGAAGTCTAACTTATCAGTTATTTCTTTCAGGAATCATGCCTTTGGTATTGTATCTAAAAAGTCATTGCCACACCCAAGTTAGTTTAGGTTGCTATAACACAGTACCATAGACAGGGTGGCTTATAAACAACAGGAATTTGTTTCTCACAGATCTCAATCAGGGTGCCAGCATGGTCAGGTTCTAGTGAAGACCTTCAGAGTTTCAAACAGCCATTTTCTCATTGCATCCTCACATGGCAGAGAGAGGGTAAGAGCTCTCTGGGGTCCCTTTTGTAATGGCACTGACCCCATTTATGAGGGCTCCACTCTCATGACCTGATTATCTCCCAAAGGCCCTACTTCCTAGTACTATCACCTTGAAGGTTAAGATTTCCATATACTAATTTTAAGGGGACAAAAGGTCAGTTGCACAAGGTCATCTAGGTTTCCTCCTGTGTTATCTTCTAGGAGGTTTATAGTTTTGCATTTTACTTTCTAAGTCTGTGATCCATTTCGAGTTAATTTTTGTGAAAATGTAAGGTCCGTGTCTAGATGCAGTTTTTGCATGTGATGTCCAGTTGCTCCAGCACCATTTGTTGAAACGGCTGTTCCAATATATTGCCTTTGCTTCTTTGTCAAAGATCAGCTAACTGTGTTTGTGTGGGTCTGTGTCTGGATTTTCTGTTCTCTTTCGTTGAGCTATTTGTCTATTTCATCAGTTTCATAGTCTTGATTACGGTAGCTTTCTAGTAAGTCTTGAAGTTGAGTAGTATTGGTCTTCAGACTTTGTTTTTCTTCAGTAGTGAATTGGCCTATTTTGGGTCTTTTGTCTCTCCGTATACTTTACAAACTATTTATTTATTTATTTATTTACTTACTTACTTATTTTTTTACAAACATTAGAATTAGGTTATCAGTACCCACAAAATAACTTGCTAGTGTTTTGATTGGGTTTTGTTTGATTAGAATCGTTCATGATCTTAGTGGGAAAACTTTCTCACCATTGAATATGATGTTTGCTGTAGGGTTTTTGTAAGTGTTCTTTATTAAATTGAAGAAATCCCCCTCTGTTTCAAGTTTGCTGAAGAGTTTTTATGATGAATGGGTGCTGGATTTTGTCAAATGCTTTTTCTGCCTCTATTGATATGATCATATTATTTTTCTTTAGCCTGTTGATGTGATGAATTATATTTATTGATTTTTTTAAGTGTCAAACAGCCTTGCATATCTGGGATAGATTCCACTTGATGTATAATTCTTTTTATAGCATTTTGGATTTTATTTGCTAACATGTTGTTGAGGATTTTTACATCTGTATTTATGGGAGATACCTGTTTTTCTTTTCTTGTAGTTCTTGGTCTCATAGAATGAGTTAGGAAGTAGTCCTGTTCCTACCTTCTGTAAGAGATTGCAGAGAATTTGTATAATTTTTTCTTTAAATGTTTAGTAGACTTCAACAGTAAACTCATTTGGACATGGTGCTTTTTGTTTTAAAAGATTAGTAATAGTTAATCCAATTTCTTTAAAAGATATGGACCTATTCAAATTGTCTATTCTTAATCTGAGTTGTGACAGATTGTATCTGTTAAGGAGTTAGTTATCCATCATGTGTTATTTAGAGATGTGATATTTAACTTTTACGTACTTTGGATTTTTCCAGGTATCTTTCTGTTACTGATTTCTAATTTAATTGTATTGTTTTCTGAGGGCAGACATTGTATGTTTTCTGTTCCTTTAAATTTGTTAAGGTGTGTTTCATAGACTGCATTCTATCTTGGTGCATAATCCACGTGCATTTGAGAAGAATGTGTGATTTGCTGTTGTTGGATGAAGTAGTCTATACATGTCAATTATATACAGTTGGTTGATGATGTGCCGTTGAGTTCAATTCTCTTTACTGATTTTCTGCCTAGCAGATTTGTCTATTTCTGATAGAGGAGTGTTGAAGTCTCCAATTACCATAGTGACTTAATCTATTTCTCCTTGCAGTTTTATCCATTTTTGACTCATGTATTTTGATGCTGTCGTTAGGATTGTTATGTCTCCTTGAAGTATTGACCCTTTTTTATGTTGTAATAACTCTTTCATTGACAACATTCCTTTCTCTGAAGTCTCTGTCTGAAATTAATATAACTACTCCTTTGTTTTAATTAGTGTTAGTATGGTATAGCTCCATCCCTTTACTTTTTTTTTAAACAGTTATCAGTTTATTTTTAACTTTCAACGTTAATGCCATCAATTGAGAATGTTTCATCTTCATTAAGAGAACTTCAGGAAATAAAATGCTGAGGGGGGAGTCCATCCCTTTACTTTTAACCCGTATGCATCTCTATACTTAAGGTGGGTTTCTAAAACCCAATCAAAAATGGGCAGATCTAAATAGACATTTCTTCAAAGAAGACATATAGATGGCTAATAGGCACATGAAAAGATGCTCAACATTGCCAATTATCAGAGAAATGCAAATCAAAACTACAATGAGGTATCACCTCATAGTGGTCAGAATGGCCATTATTAAAAAGTCCACAAATGATAAATGCTGGAGAGGGTATAGAGAAAAGGGAACCCTCTTACACTGTTGGTAGGAATGTAATTTGGTGTCGCCACTATGGAAAACAGTATGTTGATTCCTTAAAAAACTAGAAATAGACTTACCAGATGATCCAGCAATCCCACTCCTGGGCATATACCTGGAGAAAACTCTAATTTGAAAAGATAGATGTACCCCAGTGTTCATAGCAGCACTATTCACAATAGCCAAGACATAGAAGCAACCTAAATGTCCATTGGCAGATGATTGGATAAAGAAGATGTGGTATATTTATATAATAGAATACTACTCAGCCTTAAAGAAGAATGAAATAATACCATCTGTAGTAGCATGGATGGTCCTGGAGATTATCATACTAAGTGAAATAAGTCAAATAGAGAAAGACAAATATTATATGATATCACTTATGTGGAATCTAAAAAATAATACAGATCAACTTGTTTATAAAACAGAAAGAGACTCAGAGACAGAAAATAAACTTATGGTCACCAAAGGGGAAGAGGGGAGAGGGATAAATTAGGAGTTTGGGATTAGCAGATAAAAACTACTTTATGTAAAAGAGATGAACAACAGGGTACTACTGTATATTCAATACCTTATAATAACCTGCAATGAAAAAGAATATATATGTATAACTGAATCACTGTGCTGTACACCAGAAACTAACACAACATTGTAAATCAACTGTATTTCAATTGAAAAAATAAATAAAGTGGGTTTCTTGTAGACAACATATGATATGCCTAGGTGTAGGTTTTTGTTTTGTTTTTTTTTTTTGCTTCGTGTTCTGTGAGATTCCTGATCTGTGATTTGGTGTCTGACATTAATTTGGGGAAATTCTGAGTCATTAAATATTGTTTCTGTTCCCTTTATTTTTCCTTCTGGTGTTCCCATTACATGTATGTTACACCTTTTGTAGTTGTCCCACAGTTTTTGAATATTCTGCTGTGCCTCCCCCAACTCCCCAGTTTTTTTCATTTGATTTTCCATTTTGGAAATTCTAGTGTCATATCTTCAAGCTCAGAGTTTCTTTCCGCTGCTGTGTGCAGTCTACTAATGAGCCTATCAAAAGCATTTTTCATTTCTGTTACAGTGTTTTTGGTCTCTGGCATTTCTTTTTGGTTCTTTCTTAGAATTTTTCTCTCTGTTTATGTTATTCACCTGTAATTGCATACTGTCTGCCTTTTCCATTAAACCTCTTAGCACATTCATCATAGATTTAAAAAAAATTCCTGATCTGGTAATTCCAGCATCTCTGACATATATGACTGATTCTGATGCTTTTTCAGTCTCTTTGAACTGTGTTTTGCCTTTTGCTGTGCTTTGTAATTCTTTTTTAAAAGACAGACATGATACACAGGTAAGAGGAACTGTGAAGAATAGGCCTTTAGAGATGTAGTGGTCAATTGTCCAGGGAGGGGAAGTGTTCCATAGTCCTATGATTGAGTCTTTTGATGAGCCTTTGCCCCTGAACATGAACTTCACCAGTGCTTCTCTGCTTTTCTCCTTTTCTTAGGTGGGACAGGATGGCTAGAGTGGCCTGGAGTTGTGTACTTGCCTTTCCTCATGCAGAAGGTTAGAGGGGGCTGGAGTTGGATTTTTCCCTTCCTCCAGGTAGGTTAGGTTCTGGTAAAACCCAAGTGGGTTAGGCTCTGGTAAAAGAGTTTTTCTTGAAGGCAAGCTTTGTTAAGAACAGAATGTTCTGGTGTATTTAAAAAAAAAATGTTCCTTTTTCCCTCCCAGAAACACGAGGGGAAGGGAAAAGTCTATCTACTCACCTACTGAAGGACATTTTGGTTGCTTCCAGGTATTGGCAAGTATGGATAAAGCTACTTTAAACATCTGTATGCAGGTTTTTGTGCGAATGTAAGTTTTCAGCTCCTTTGGGTAAATACCAATGAGCGGGATTGCTGTATTGTATGGTAAGAGTGTATTTAGTTCTGTATGAAACTGCTAAACTCTCTTCACAATGCCTGTACCATTTTGTGTTCCCAGCAGCAATGAATAAGAGTTCCTATTGCTCCACTTCCTCCTTAGCATTTGGTGTTGTGTTTTGGACTTTGGCCGTTCTGATTGATCTGTAATGGCATCACATTGTTTTAATTTGCATGTTTCTGATGACATAATGATGTGGAGCATTTTTCATATGATCATATCATTTTTAATGACTATTTCATTGGATAGATAAAAGAACCTTGATATAGATGAAATCATTGCTATTTAGGTTCCATGTGTTTGTGGATGACCTGGATTTTTGTCCTAGGGTGGTCCCCACAGTGTCTTGTGACCTCTATATTTAGATATTTCTCTTTTTTCTGGTATAAACTCTTTGGACATTTTTATATACAAGACTTTTTACTCAGAATAAACACCTTAGGATGAAGTCATAAAAGTAGAGTAATTGGGACAAAGGACTTACAGATCTTAACACCCTGTGATATCTGAGGCCAGAAAAATTACCCCACTTTATACTTTTGCCAGCAGTTCCAGCAAGTTTTATATTGATATATATTTAAAATCTTTCTTTTTAGGGGAAAACTTTAACATACACAAGCGTAGACTAATATAATAACCCTCAGGTACTCAGCTCCAGATCCCATATACCCAAGACCAATCCTGTGCTACTTCAAGCCCCACTTCTCCCTTGTATTGTTACTATTTTAAAACTCCATTGAATTGTAATAGAAATACAGAGAACTACACCCATCATAAGTGTATTTTCACAATCTGAAACCCCTCTGGGTAATTAGTGTCCCAGATATGCCTTTGTCCCGTTTCAGTCATGCCCTCTCTGCCAGGGCAACCAGTATCCTGATATGTAACTGCATTGATTAGTTCTGCCTAGTTTTTTTCCTTAAGTAAATAGAATCTTATAGTATGTTCTTGTGTCTGAGTTTTTCTCTTGGCATTGCTTGTGAGATTGTCCGTGTGCTTGCAGGCAGTTGTTGACTATTTGTTCTTGTTTTATGTGAAATTTTATTGTATGAAATTATTTTGTTGTTGATGAACATTTGGATAGTTGCCACTCTGGGGCTACTACAAATAGTGCTGCTCTGAGCATTCAAAGCTTGTGTCTTTTGGTGAACATATGCATGCATTCCTTTGGGGGGATATACCCAGAAGTGAAATTGCTAGGTCATAGAGTTATGCATATATTTGATTTTGGCTGCATCTACTAAAGTGATTGTACCAAATTATACTTCCATTACCATATCCTCTTTAGTAGCTTTTATTTTACTTTCTTTTCATTTTAACTACACTCCTAGCTGTGTAGTGATAACTTATCATAGTTTTAATTTGCACTAGTGAAGTCAAGCACCTTTTCGTGCTTTTATTGGTCATTTAGTTATCCTTTTTAAATGAAGGGTAATATTTAAGTCTCCTGTTCTTTTTTCTGTTGCATTCTCTTTTTCTTACTGTATTAGCTCTCTGTTGCTACATAACAGTTGTCCCCAAACTTAGTGGCTTATAACAACAATAAACATTTATTATCTCACAATTTTTGTGGGTTAGGAACTTGGGAACAGCTTGGCTGGGCTATTCCAGCTTGAATGTCATCAGCCTTCTGAAGTCTTGACTGGAGTTGGAGGGCCCTTCCCGAGGTGGCTCATTCACATGCCTGGCAAGTTAGTCCTGGCTCTCGGTGGAAGGCCACGGTTCCTTTTCATGTAGGCTTTTGTCGGGGATGCCTAAGTGTCCTGTCCTCGGGACGTGGTGACTGACTCCACCCCTGAGAGAGTGATTTGAGAGAAGGAGCGCCAGGTGGAAGCTATCGTTTTTATGACACAGCCTCAGAAGTCACATGGCATTTAATTTTGCTGTGTTCTGTTTGTTAGAAGAGAGTCACTTAAATCATCCCAGCTTGGGGAGTTATGTTCCACTTTTTGAAAGAAGTGTCAAAAAAATTTGAGGGCTTATTTTCAAACACAACTTTTGGTAGGATTTCTTTTGTGTTGGAGGTGAATCTTTCAGGAGATATAGGCATGGTGACTATCTTTGTCTACTATGTGGGTTGTCATTGTGTGAGGAAGAGGAGTTAATATTAATGTAATTCAGTTGATTAATTTTTCCTTTATTGGTTAGCCCTTTCCATATTACTTTGAAGAAAATTCCCAAATACTTATTATTTCTTCTATAAATGTGTCAGTATAGATCTTTCAAAGATAAACTTTTTGTTTTAACCATAACATAACCACAAAACTGTAACATCTAAAAAAAACTCCCACACAGTAGTTTTAATATTATCCAATATCTAGTCAGTGTTGAAATTTCTAGTTGTCTCAAATATGATAAATTTTTAGTAGAGTTTTTTAGTTTTGTCAGATCAAGATCCAAATAAGGTCTACCAATTAATACTATCTATAGATTCCCCAGTTGTCACTCTTTCTCCCACCCGCCTTGCCATCTGTGTGTGAAAGAGCTGGATATCTTGTTCTGCTTGTTCTGCAGTGTCCTCACAGTGCTCTGTGTTAGGTAGGTAGCCATGAATTTTTCTCTCTGGGCTGTAAACTTTGTTGCTGTCTCACTGGTGTTTATTCTTCGGTTGTGATCTGTCTCTAAAGGTTGAATGTGGACCCAAATTGAAATTTTTAAAGGGCTTCCAACCTAAATCAGGTAGAAATTCATTCAGATCATACTTCTGTACTTAAAATATAATAATGCTTGCTTTGAAATGTACTCTCTGTGTGTTTGGGGCCATCTGAGAGTGTATTTTCTGTTTTCTGTAGATCACACATTGACTGAAAGCCTTTCCTCTTGAGGAAACCACACCCCCTCTGGTAGTTTAAATGTTGCAGGGCATAACATAAGGTGGTCTGACACCTTTTGGGGGGGGGTCCAAATCCATCTCCCCAGTTGTTTTTACTTGATGTATGGTTATATATGTACAATATTATGTTAATTCAGGTGTACAACATAACGATTGGACATTTAAATGCATGACAAAATGATCACCACCCACCTCTTATTAATAACCATGTTAACCACCTACTTTTTTTTTTCTCCTTGTGCTGTCCACTAGCTGACTGATTTTTTGAGTTGTGATGACCAGTATTTTAAGGGTTGATGACTCAAAATCTTTTTAGGCTACCTTGAATTTCCAGTCTTCCTCAGTTTCTCTTTTTCCCTTCTAATAGAAATTTTAACAATAAAAAATTAGAAAAATTAATGATGACATGATTAGAATGAATGTTAGAGAATTAAACAAATCATTTCTTAAAATTCATGTATGTATAAAGTTTAAATTTAAAAGGTCATTTTCTTAATACCAATTATATTCAAAAAGTGTGGTTCAACTTCAAGTAAGAAGTAAATTTTCAAAAAAAATTTTTTTTCAGTGTTTTATTTTAAAGTGAGTATACATAAAGGATACTGATTCATAATTCATTCAGCAAATATCTGGGTGCCTGCCCAGTACCAAGCTGGTGCTTCTATGCTTTGGTCATAAATGGTTAAAAAGATGGCCATGGTACTGGTGAATTAAGTGAATCGGAACAGTGTCTCAGTAGAGATACAATGCAAGCTACATGTGTAATCTCAAATTTTCTAGTGGCCTCATGAAAAAGAAACAGGTAAAATTAATTTTAATGTATTTTATTTAACCCAGTATTCCAAAATATTGTCATTTCAACATGTAAAAATTATCAGTGAGATATTTTCACTTTTTGGGGAACTAAATCTTTGAAGTCAAATATGTATTTTATACATATATACTTCTCAATTTGAACTGGCTACATTTTATATGCTCAGAAACCTTATGTGGCTACTGTAGTGGACCACATAGGTCATGGTTATCATCATTGTTATCATTGCTCCCGTGGAGTGGCAGGGGACGCTGACTAGGAACTTAAGTAAACAGTGGCTAGAAGGACCAGAGGAGATGCAGGGAGATGAATTAGGAAGCTCTTTCTGTCCTCCAGGTGGTGGCAGAAGAAGATGGAAAATGAGAGATACTCAAGAGGTGGAGTTGGCAACATTTTGATGAATTTGATGGGGAGGGAAAAGAGGAACCAGGCTCTGTCTTTCACAGCTGGGTGTGCCTTTTCTGGGATGGGGAAGACTTGGTGAGGAAAAGGTTTGGTTCGTGGCTGGTGTATGGTAGAGAGCAGAAGCTCTGTTTGGGAGATACTAGCTTTAATGTGCTTGTGAGACATCCAAAGGGAAATGTCTGCTAATAGTAGGATACCTGTGTTTGAAGTGCAGAGGTGGCCTTAACTGGCTTAATGAATTTGAATCTTAAATGTGATTATGGAGGTATTTTAAGAAACCCATGGAAATGGCTTCATTTATTCAACAACCCTTTTTTTTTTTTTAAAGTCTTCTTGGGTCTTGTTTTAGTTGCTGCGGCCACAGCATGAATTGAACAAGTGTAAACTGACACTTCAGCCAATGTCGTGAACTTGAGAGTATATCTAGATAGTGTCCACAGTCTGGACCCTGTGGGAACTTCTACCTTAGCAGTTGTGGAGAAGAGACAGAGAGTGGGGGCAGTGAGGAAACAAGGAGAGATGAGCTTAAAGAAGCCAAGTAAGGAGAATGTACCAATGAGGAGGACGGTCCCATGGTCTGCTGTACTGAATGCTCCGGAGAGCGAGTTTAAAATGAGGATAGGAGAG